GATTGTTTCGAATAAGGTAATATCAATTAATACAGGGTATTTATTAATTGAGTGCCGATACAACAAAATATCAAACGCAGTTTCAATAAACTTAAAAAAAAATTTTTGGTTTTTTTCTTACGCGAAAAGGTTTGCGTCGTACGAAAGTACATCTATAAACCAAATTTGCTCCAAAATAAATAAGGATTTTAAAGATAATTTTGGTTTTTAGAAAAAGCAGTGGCGTACCTTATTTTTCTGCAAAAATATTCAGTTCAAACCCGGTACGAACGTCACTAGTAAACATCTTAAAAAGACTTTTACGACAAAAAGGCGGGATTAAAAGTGAAAGTTTAGTCCGTTGGTACATAATATACTATATTTATATATCTAACAAAAAAAAGAATCATAGAAATCGGACAAACATACATAAAAAATGAAGAGTTTGAGAATTTTCTCATGGACCTAATTATTAGATTTTGACCAAATATAGGGCCACCCATGAAGTACCCTCTTTCCAGCAAAAAAAGAATCCTTTAAATTGGACACCGTGTTAAACAATTATCGCTGAACATTAATAAACTATATTAATTGTATTAACTAAAAACTACTATATGGGGTTATATACATTTTTTTAAATTAATTTTATATGTAAAAATGTGGGTTCGGTTTCTAGAAGAGTACCTAGTTCACTGCGCAGCCAAATTTATATTTATGGTACAGAAATTTAAATAAATAAAGTTTTAGGTTTAATTAAACATCAAGTTTTATCAGGAATGACATTTTCTGAAAAAAATAACAAGAAAAAGTTTTCCATAAAAAAGCAGACTGTTTGCGAGCCACTATATATACTTTAGAGGACAATCCCTATTATATTGGAAAAATAAATAAAAAATTTGTATAATCACAAAAATGTGATTTATCTTTAGAATATTGTATATGTTTATTAAAGTTTACTATTTTTTATAAAAAATTATATTCTTCAAAATATTTCTTAAATTTTTTAACAGGTACAAAATACCTTAATTCGTTTATAGTTATCGATTTTAAACAAGAGGGAGACCGGATATCGTCGAAGAGAAACAGCGAAATTATTAAAGAATTGTAACTCGATTAAAAAACGTTTTTTTTCTGTTTCCATTTTCTAAAAAAAACTAAAAGACCTTTTTGAAATCGGTTTTCGGTGAGTTTTCTTCTGATTTATTGCCTTGAAAATGACACGATTTACATAAACAACAAAAAACTGACCTATTATTTTTTTGAAATAAAAATATGTTGTTATTTTCATAATTTTTTATTGTTCTCTGTTTCCAAAAAAGAAACACGATGTTGTCAAGCAAGTTCTTCTGCAGATATTAACACAATCTTTAATTGGCTTTTTAAATTTTTTAGTATTTTCATAATTTGGGAAACAATATAACATTGAAACTCCTATACCCGAAAAATTATAAGTACGCTCTTAATTAATTGTCTGTTTTTTTATCTCACAATGTCGGGTATAAGAAGTTATATAGAAAAAGTTAGTATTCAATATCATCTAGACAAAAAACAAAAACATGTTTAAATGAATATATTAAATAAATTATGACCATTCTTTAACAGAGATATATTTATTTGTATTATGAAAATAATGTTTATGTCAACAAACTTAGGTTCGATATTTGTATCAATTTGCAAAAATAAATCTTGTTTAATGATAATATTAATATTTAAAGGTTTTAAATAAGAACTTGAAGATATCACAGTTTAAAATTCCTTTTATTGACCATAATACTTTTTTTTGGAATGGAAGCATTAGTTCCCGTTTTTCAGTTAAGGTCCCTCAATCAATTCATATTTTAATCTGAACGCTACTTAAGCGCAATAAAGTTGCAACAACCAAAATATATAGTGAACTTTTCGAAAATTTCTAAGTTAAAATGAAAATTAATTTATATTTAAAATTAAATAAGTTTGCTAAAATTTTTGACCGTATGAAGTTATTAAAGTTATAAATAATTACGTTTTAAAGATTCATATGTGAATTTTCTATTGATGTGATAGTTACTCATCTGCGTTTTACAATATCAATAAATGACTTGGTTTTGGCACAAAACCCTGTATAGTAAAACTTCTTATTGGAATCAAATTCTTGAAATTATTATTTGGGGACTTAAAAACGTGCTCCACTAGTTGGTGTAGCCTTTTAAAACATTGGGTACAATAATAATTATATATCATCAATTGCCACTGACACTGGTAAAATCCTAAATTTAAAAAAGCGTAATATAATAATAAGACATTAATTATATCTTAAATGGATCGCCTACTATCATTTTTAGAAATAAATAAAATGTAATTCTTAAATTAATAAACATTTTAAACATATTCAAAATAATTTAAGATTCCTTGCGTTATATTAATAAAAAACCAAATTTGTCACGAATTATTTAGTATTCTGTGTCGTACTTTTCTATGTCTCTATTAGCTCCGCTGTCAACAAGTTCCGACAAGGCATATTGCATATAAAAATTTCTCCACTTTTATTCCTGCAGAAGTCCAAAAGCACAAAATGCAAAAATCCATTTGTGTTACGTACAGCTAGCCCTGAATTTGAAAATACTAATAGTGGTTCTTCTTAATGGTATTGTCCTTTTTCCTAAAAGTTATTTTTCTACTGCATATTTTTTCTTCTACATTCAGAACTCTAGCTCCATATGGACGTTTCAACTCTATCATAGAATTTGTTTTTTTTTTTAATTCCATCCAGATTTGCAGCAACATAATCAAATTCGGATTTAATAAAATGTCCACATTGAAAAACTTTTTCTTGCAAATAAATTTCCAAATCTTATTTTGCTCTGAATTTATGGCCTATACCATATCGGGTGGCTTTAGCAATAAATAAAAGATTTTAGATTTTTTACAAATTTTAAAGCTAGTTTTCGTCTTTTATTGTGCCACATTGCACAATCAGCAATTGTCACAATCGTTTTTTCTCATCCATAGACATTGGCTTATATTTTAGAAAATCTTCTCTTGCAACACGCCTCAAAGAGTGCGACAGATCAAAGCCATGTGTGAATGCAAGAAAAATGATTTACAATACTTTAACGGATTGAAGAGTTGTTAACATGCTGGAATTAATAATTATTGTTAACTCGAACAGATATTCATTAAAGTTAAACAAAAACATATTTTTATAATTCACATCTCAGTGTATACCTTTTAATTTCGGATAATTTTTTTAAAAAACAAATGATAACATTATTTTAACATAATTGAGCGAAATTACTATATGTAAAAATAAAATTAATTCAAATGACTAAAGAGTAGAAAAAGATATATATTTGGTTGGTGTCACCCTCTAGAAGAAAAAGCTTTCAATGTATTTCTATTTTTATTGTAAGAAAAATAAATGCTCCTGTAGACAAAAATTAAATATATTGTTCCCTTCTAGCATTTTTTAACATTTCTAATTCTTTTCTTAGATTTTTTCAGAAGAGACTGATTCAAATTTTTAAAGTGACTCCAAAGAGGTACGGGTTTAGCCTTTACCTGTACTTACATAAATTTTCTTTTGGTAAAAATAAAAAATAATCCGTAAACTTGGTGTACTATGAAACCCTTGCATATAATATATATGCCAATCTTAGTACTACAGAAATGATTTACCTAAAAAATAAGGTGTACAAATAGGTAAAAATTGTTTATCCCTCGTAAAACATCAGTTAAATATATTATAAATTGTTTTCATTCCCAAATATTAATTTCTTAAAAATCTAACAGAGGCGCCACTTTCCAGACGAAAAATCTTGCAATGTAAGGGTTTCGTAGTACCCCACTTTTAAAGTTTATTTTTAACTATTTTTAAAAGAAAAAAATATGTATGTGTAGGTAAAGGTTAAATCTATGCTCCTCTGGAACCACTTTTTCAAAATTCAATTTAATTTTTTCTAAAAAAAATTGAGAAAATGGGTAAAAAAAGTCGAGTTTTGTATTTTTTTTTTTATAAAAAACTGAATCAAATTTTGAAAAAGTGTCTCCAGAGGAGCACAGATTTAACCTTTACCTATACGTACATATTTTTTTCTTTTAGAAAAAGTCAAAAATAAACTTTAAAAGTGGGGTACTACGAAACCCTTGCATGCTCCGCGATACAGCCAAGTAAATACTCCTCTTAACAGAGACAACAGAGACGTTTAAGCATTGGCTTCGTATGGGCGTTTCCTATTTTTATCTGCCTTATCTCTGATATATACCATCGAATCATGAACATTAAACACCTTGCTTTTTCTTTTTTTTTTTAATAAAACCTGAGCCCTAAGAATATTTCAGTGTTTAAATCTAAATAAATAAAAATAAAAAATAAAATGTCACTTGTCAACAATGTCCCTTTCTTGCAAAAACCTTCTTCGTTTTCGTCTATTTTGGATATTGGGACAATGCCATTTTTAATAATTATTTTTATATTATATCATTATATATGTTTTTTGTATAATATAACCAAATAATAATATAATGCGAATGTGAATCCATGGAAATATAGTAAAGCACGTAGAATTGACGTTCTGCGGATATCTATTTCTTGACGTCCCGAGGGTTTACTAAACTGGACATACTTAAAACTTCCAGAATTGGTCCTGCACAAAAATGTCTTTAGTCCTGCACGTACAGACGATAAATGAACATGTAGAACGTCCTGTGCTATCTGGGACGTAGATATAGGCAGCTCATTATGCACTACTTATGACAAATTTTCAGTTTTTATATCTATTTCTTAAAATAATGTGATCGTAGAAAAAATCTTATGTGCATTTGGAGCGAAAAGTTCATTGCAGCTTTCGACGCGGCAACTTTTTGTCTTAAGCGGCAAAGTATCACTATTCTTAATACACAAATAGTTATTATGTAACATATGCATAAAGTGTCTTTTTTTACTCTTGGAATTGCCGCACTCGTGCGGTAAACTTTTCCATTCATAAAAAAAGTACCACTTTACGCACTTGCATAAATTACTATGGCTTCGTTTTTTTTTGCAGGTATATATTTATTTCAATGGATACGACGTGAAAGGTTCGCCCTTCATGATGAGAGTAGGCACACAAAAGCGATCCAAATCTAGTAGTAGTCCCACTAACTACCGTGCTAGTCCTACGAATAGATTCAATACACCAAGTCCCAATTTCTCAAGTCAATCAACAAAAAATAACAACTACACAAAGTAAGAGAATTAGGATTTATTCACTAAGTGTTTTTTAGGTGTTCTTTATATCTAGTCTGGAAAGATATTCTAGTTTGCCCTATATACTTTTTATCACAATATTTTAAATTTTTTCACATTTTTTTTTTATTTTTATATTCTAGGCTAATATTCTATATTTGTTAAAATAAAAATTAAAATTTAGAGGGCCATCTAGATTAGTTGGAAGTTTAAACAGTTTAATTAATGTGTTACGATCATTTAACAATATTACAATATTTCATTTTTGTAAAATTAATACGTTGTTATCTCATCTTGTACAAAAGTATTTAAGACTATAAAATACTAAGTTTAATTCTGTTTGTTTGGTTTTTAGCTATAGACAAAACGCAAGTCCTTTATTGGAGGAGAACCACAATTTCGCTCAGGATTATCACATGAAATCGGTGGCTGAAAAACGATTAACCTCAAGTTCACCAATCTACGTCGATAGAAACAGTCCCAGTTACAATCAAAGAACTCACAGTCCAGTTTATAGGTAATCTCTTAAATAATAATACACTAAAGATTGCACCAATAAATTTAGATGGTTAATTTTGAATTGTTACAATTTAAAAATAATTTTTAACTAAAACACCCCAATCTCAATTAAACTTGTAATGCAATAATTCAATACCAACCTTACTAATTAACCTAAACCTCTAATATTTTAAATTTACTGTTGGTTTTTGGTTTTGATTTGACTAAAATAAATTACGTCTTCTTCTAAACATATATACTACAAAAACTACCTTATTGTGAAGGTGTAAAATCATCCAATGACATCTGGGCAGGCAGATGAGTTGTGCAAACCTTTAATTTTTTTATGGTGTAAACTCTTCAAATAAGGAGTGCGCAGAGACTTGGTGTGCGCCCATAATAGCCCATAGGCATCCGCGCTTCCTTTCTGAAAGTCTACCTGTCAAATATCACCTCCTCTTCCTCTTTTTCTATTTTGTTTTTGCTTTCCGGAACTGCCTTCTGGGGTATTTCTTCAAAGTGCAGAGTAGTCTTTTGTTTTTAGTCTCCTTTCGTTTCCTTGCGTTTTTTCATTTTCATATTGTTTTTTACTGTGTCAGCCATGATTTTCCTGATGCCTTGCTTCTTGTTATAGTCTGCAGTATATTTTTCATGGTTAGTATCTTCCATAATTTTGCATGCATCTTGTCAGAGTATTTAATTTCATGTAAACATAGAAAACATGCGATCTGGGGTGTCTTCTTGTCCGCAGACGTCATCGATAATCTTTCCTATCCTTTTGGTAAGGGATTTGAATGATTCATCCTCACTTAGCACCTGTGTCATAAAAGTTTTTGATTCTGTATTCAAACTTGGCATTTTGCAAGTTGGTTAGATTAAAAGGTAGAAAAGAAAAAAGGTTCTTTAAATCCTTTAAATCTCACAAATATATTTATTTTTTTTGTGAGATTTAAAGGAGTTTTCTTCTTTTTTACCTTTTATTGATGCTATATTTACAAGTAGCATCTGGTATAAGCTTTTTTCCTCATCCCATTCCCTTTGCCGCCATCTGTTTAGATGTCTTTGCCTTTCCTCCCATTTACTTATTTCATTATTCTTTGCCTTTTTTGTATGGGGCATTTCTCTCTTTTTTACCAGAATATGGATAGGAAACAAATCTTGCTAGGACCTGTGCTACTTAGAGCGATTCAGTTAAATTTCTATGAATTTCTATGAATTTGTATGAATTTATATGAATTTCTATGAATTTCTATGAATTTCTATGAATTTCTATGAATTTCTATGAATTTCTATGAATTTCTATGAATTTCTATGAATTTCTATGAATTTCTATGAATTTCTATGAATTTCTATGAATTTCTATGAATTTCTATGAATTTCTATGAATTTCTATGAATTTCTATGAATTTCTATGAATTTCTATGAATTTCTATGAATTTCTATGAATTTCTATGAATTTCTATGAATTTCTATGAATTTCTATGAATTTCTATGAATTTCTATGAATTTCTATGAATTTCTATGAATTTCTATGAATTTCTATGAATTTCTATGAATTTCTATGAATTTCTATGAATTTCTATGAATTTCTATGAATTTCTATGAATTTCTATGAATTTCTATGAATTTCTATGAATTTCTATGAATTTCTATGAATTTCTATGAATTTCTATGAATTTCTATGAATTTCTATGAATTTCTATGAATTTCTATGAATTTCTATGAATTTCTATGAATTTCTATGAATTTCTATGAATTTCTAAGAATTTGTACGAAATTGTACAAAATTGTACGAAATTGTACAAATTTCTACGAATTTCCATGAAAATTATATACATTTCTATGGAATTTATATGAATATCTCTGTCTCTCCATTTGTCCGTGTGTCTGGCAGTCTGGTTAGTCTTTTTTTTTGGCAACGCTACTGCGCATAATTTTTGTCTTTTTGGCTACCTACCTACCTATCTGTTTATTGTGACATCAACAACGATCCCTTGCTTGTTGTTGGGTAGACAACACCTGTTACAGCAATCAACGAAAGAGAACTTAGCTATGAGTTACGTCGTTTCTTCAGCTCCTGCGGAGGCTTCTTCACGACCCCTTACTTTTCATCTTTGGTTTCTTTTCTTCATAGGTTAGAGGCCGTTTCCTTATTGACAATTAGGTTAAATTATATTTTTAGTTTATCGAGGATCTATTTTCAAACTATGGGAGTACTCATTTCTCGTGAAAATCTTGAAAGAAATGACTACTCCCATTTATTTAAAATTTACAAATAGCCCTCCAGTAGCTGTGAATTACATCAAACATCATCTTTTAGCCGTCAATATGTACATTGGAGTTGAAACGGTCTATGTGCGTAATTTTTTTTGTGAGTGGTCACTACTCACTTTACCACCTCCTGAGGAACTCTCATTTCATTGCCTATTTAATGATAGATTATAATTCGTCCTCTGTATAATTTGAATTCATTGGATTTATCTCCATGTATTTTTTGCATTTTAGAACGGCAAGTCCAAATTATCAGCCTCCAAGTCCCAGTTACCGTCCAACGAGTCCAAGTCATGGAAGAGACAGTCCCGATTATATTAGCAGTCGAAAGCTAAACGAAAAAAGATATGATTTTACCAACAAAATGTCCTCTATGAGAGTGGAAGACGCAAGAAGTCCCAGTTATTTAGAAAGGTACGTAAACTTTCTTTGTGTACACAGAAGCTGACACTTCTTGATACTTTAAGTGATGGAAAGAAGATTCAAATTGATTGTTCCGTAAACCCTTATCTCCTGTTTCTTTATTTCGAGGTAATACTTACTGTATTTTTATTTTCTAGGTCGAGTCCTGACGTAGGCTACACCTCTACCTCCAGATACGACAAAAGAGTAACAGAAAACCGCGTTTACACCAACAATTCTTCCACAAATGGAGTCGATACAACTCCTATCATTAAAGTTTCCTCCGTCAACGATTCGTCCTTGGGTCGTCGAGATTCTTGGGATGCTATCGCAAAAACCAGGAACATTCTTTCAGATCGAAGTTTAGAATCTTTAGCCAACTTAACGGAATCGCAACTCGATACTGAGTTGAGACGCAGGAAAGCTGAGGAACATTCGAAGTTTATTTTGAAAGAGCAGAGCTATAAAAATTACAATGAAAATTATTCGTCGAAAAAATATAGCGATAGTTATGGAAGGAGTTCTCCTGTATATAGTAGAATGAGGAAAGAGGGCGGAGCTCAGGCTGTTAGAGTCCAACCTGTTCCAGACGGAGTATTAGGACAACCTGTAGAATTCGAGAGTAAGTATATTCAAGGCATCACGCACTTCTTTGTATACGAGTGTTGATCTCCATGCTCCAGCTTTGACATAGCTCTGATCCATTGCTCTCCTATGACCTCTTTCCACTAGTCTGTTAGATTTTGCTACCTACTTTCTGTGCCTAAGCACCTGAGGTGGGATTTATGTCAATCCAAAGTTGGATGCCGACTAACTACAGTGAAGAAGGGGGTGAGTCGTAGAAAAAGTGATGTTTGTGAGTGGGCGCCAGGAGTTTAACCTCACATCCAACAATCCATGTGACAGTTCACTACCAAACTCCAAATAGGAAACTATAGCATCTCCTCTACAAGGCCATCAAGCGGCTACAAATCGAGTATGCTCCTCTTATATTATATCAGTTACTTTACCATTAAAATAGATGCTGACAGTTAGCAAGTGGGGATAAATAATAAGTTAAGTTCAATATATACTCAAGTTTAATAATATAAATATAAATCGTGTTGACATGGGGGATCAACTTCGTTCACACTATGAAATGTACTAATATTTACCAAATTAATAACAACTAAATCACTTAGTACATTACTATCAGATTCCCCAACTTTAAACAGTGGTATCCAGTCAATTCGTTGCGCGACAATTTATCGCGCGACCTTTCAGAGCCGACAATTCATCGCCACGACTTTTCATCGCTACGACAGTTTATCGCTATGACAATTTATCGCCCCAAAAATATCGTATTGTATCTATGATTTATACAGTATGTCTGAAAAACAAACAATTTTTTTTGTGCTATATTGAATTTTTCTTATAAGTACCAAATAAAATTATTTTTTCGAAAAAATTACAAAATATCTTACTCTAAATTACACAAAAATATGATTTACTTTTTTTCTGCTAATCAAGTAATTTTTACTAAGAAAAATATAATAAATATCAATAATGTATTATTGATAAGCCAATTTAAAGTGTATAAGCGGCAGTCGCAGGTTCTCAACAGTCCTTTACCTACTATTTAAAAAGGATTATCTTCATTAGCCAATTCGGGTAAGTTACGACATTAGTTAATAATAATAAAGAATTATAATTATCCTTTATTAATCCTTTCAAGGAGAAATTCATAGTGCAATCAATATTTAATTCTAAAAAGGATTATCTTCAATAGCTTGTTTGTGTAAGTTAGTATTTTAGATGCCCTGTTTATAATCGGGCGGCTCGAGTTCCCGTCAGCATAAAACCTTTTACCTGCGTTTCAACTTTTGTCTCTTAATACTGCACACGAGTTCCCGGCAGGGTTCAAATTTATCCTTAATCCTTAACTCGAATTCCCGTTAGCGGTTAGTAATAATTAAAACTACATAATTTTTAAAGTTGCATCATATTTATTTATTTAAATGTACACTAAATTTATATGCCACACATTTTAAAAAATCATAGCGGCTAATCTCTTTACACTGATATTATGAAATTTTGGCAGTAATGAAATTTTGGCTTTTTAAAACGTCTTCTTTTATTAATCGTTTTTCTTTTTTATTGCTACTATTTATTTTAATATAAGTATCTGTTTGGATTCTTTTCAACGCCTCAAGAAACACGTGTATATTTGGATGATAAGCCACACAATAATGTTTAAATTTCGAATGAAAACTTTCACAACAGTTCGTAGTTCTAGTAATGTCTGCAGAACATTCTGCCCAAATATTAGGGGGAAAACTTGAATCTTGACTTATATAATTTTCGGTTAAATAGTCCGCGAATTGAACCACTTTTTCATTTTGAGGCATATCTTCTGCAAAATTAAAAGCAAATGCATCTCCTACTTCATCTGGATGTAAAAATGTAAGTCCAAATATATGGTGTAACGTGTAACCATTTTCCTACCTCACAGACAGGATTGCGATGTTCTTTTGATAGGCCAAGTTGAAGTATTTTTCTATACCTATAAGAAAAATTATTTTGTTAGTACACATGGTACTTTTCCTCAAAGACCTTTCTATTTTTTATATAATTTATTTAATTTTACTATTTAAAACCTCTATTAACTTTCTCCAATGAGTATTGTAGAGGCCTCGTATTGTATTATTATGAAGAAAAAACTATTTCTACTATTATACTCTACCCATTTAACGTACACCAATGGATTTTGTGTGACAAAATACACTCTTTATTATATTTATATCCAAAATTTTATTTAAATCTTTTTGTTTATTTACTTGAAGATTAATTTTATGATTTACATAAAAAATATTTCTTAGTAAGTACATCTTAAAAATATCCTACAAGATCATCGGTTAGAGTAATCAAATCGCAAATTGATGGCTCATCCAATGTATTAAGTTTTAATTAAGTTTACAAACAAAAGAATCAAATTTATTTATTTTGAATATTTCAATATTTCAACTTTGTTTAAAAATACCGATTAGCTTTATTATAACAACCTTTCTAATGAAAATAAGCGTGTGTAAAGAGTAATAATGTCAAACTGACAATTCACGGAAAACATCAACTTTCGAGTTAGAATTGAATGTGGAAAAGTCTACTTTGGATAGTAATCGTAGAAAAACAAATCTTTATAAACATCAGATATTGAAATTTTTCACTCGTATAAGAGTACAGTATCTTTGTTTTTGAAAATATCAAAGTTGATAATAATTATTATCACATATACGTAAAATTGTTGATATATAAATTCAGTTTTAATTTATTTGATTTTTTAAATTTGTTTACTTTAACTTTAAATTTAATTCTAAACAAAGTTTTTTTACAACTTCAAAAATCAAGATACCTACCATACCGTGTATACGACTGAAAAAATATTAATATTTGATGGTTGTATTTTAGGTTTTAGAACATGCAGAGATTTTCATAAAGAATAATTTTTTTATGAAATGTTTTTCCCATTTGTAAAAAACTTTTTGGGGCACCTATGTATCATTGAGGCCTCGTATAATTGAGGAAAAGTAAAAATGGATATTTAAAAAACAATTATTACACTAGAGATTAAAATAAATGTGTTCTTACCAAGCTTGTGCCAAATGGAATCTACATCCTATAATGTTGGTGTGTGGAAAAATGGTTGTAACAGCAGAATGTATTCCTTTTTCGAAATCAACGACTATGGAGTCCAAATTCGCTACATTGATCAATTAAAATTTGAAGCAATTTCACATAAGTTGATCTCATTTTGTTCTTTAATAAACAATATACAACTGGAACATTATGTATCATTTTACATATACATGCAAATAAAATAATTGAAAAAAATATTTTGGACAATTATCGAAAGTTCCATCCATATAAAATTTTGTATGAGCACACATAAATTCTATGTTGCTCTTACAAGAAAACACAATTATTTCTTCGGTGGGATCGTTGACCAATAAAAATTGTTCGTCCTTAATTGTTTTTATATCTAATAAATTCAAAGTAATTTAAACGTCTGCAGAAGATTTTGGCAATTTGGGGAATAATTTACGTTTTTCTCTTCCAAAGTTATTTCGAATGTATTTCATGTCTTTACTTGTAAGAGTATCCAAACACTGTTTTTGAGAGTTTATTTCCCTGTGGATAATTTTGGCAGGTCTGTCGCTTTCCTTGGTTACTCACTTTTTGTCTGTTTAATACACCTTGATCTAACATTTCATGCTCATCACTTTTCTTTGAAAAAATTATTTTTTTTTTCATCTCCTAGTGTGTATAATTTTGCACAAGTTTTCGTGACACAACACCAACAAGTTTCATCTGTACTTTTTAAAATACGATATTTGTAAAACTTATAATTTTCTAACAAAATTAAAGGTTTTCCTTTTTCACTTGTTATCACATGAAGATTCATATTAATAAAAATACACAAAGAGGCACTAAAGTAATAGTGAATAATATTGCGAAAAATTCCTAAATATACTTATTGAGGCCTCATCTTAATATATAATCGATTTAATTGTTATTTACTAAGCTATTAAATAATTGAAAGCAAATATATATAATAATTCTTTTAATTGCTGACCTTATCGGGCGCCTGAGGTAGGTACCTACCTACCTAATTAAATTCGTCCCTTACGGGAACTCGAGTAGTGGATTATCTTAAGCTTCAACTGCTTGTCGGGAATTCTAGGAACGGATTATGGTTAAAATTGTACTTGACGGGAATTCGAGTGTCCTCTTTATAATATATGTATATAAGGTTTAAATAAGAAATACCAACGAACTGTAATCATTCTTATTTTGTCTTTGTACGAGTTTACATCATTGTAAAAGTTGAAAATGCCGTTACAATTTGTTGACAGCGAAAGAGGTCACAAAATGCTTTTATACAATGGCCATACACATTCTAGAGAAAAAAAATTCTGGAGAAAAAGGTATTTGGAAATGTTCTCTATATCATAAATGGAGATGTACCGGTCGCATTCATACCATAGGCGATGAAATTGTGAAGAGTACCAAACATAATCACGTGTCAAATAGTGCTGATGTGGAAGTAAGAAGAGCTGTTAAAAAAATTAAAGTTTTAGCTGAACAAAGTGATTTCACTACTCAACAAATCATTGCAAAAGTTTCCGAGGGTTTATCATCATCGGCTGCAGCCAGATTACCACAAGTGAGTGCAATGAAAAAAACTATTCAACGAAAAAAGGAAAAGACAGAAGGAATTCCTGCGATTCCAAATTCTCTGCTTCAATTAGTTATTCCACAGGAATATACACTGACAAGCAGTGGTCAGTTATTTTTAATGTACGACAGCGGCCCATCAGAAGATCGAATATTAGTGTTTACAACAGCAAGAAATCTTGACTACATGTTGGGGTGTGAACACTGGTACGGAGATGGAACTTTTTCAACAGCCCCTAATATGTTTTCCCAAATATATACAATCCATGGCGTCAAATATTCAAATACCATTCCAACAGTATATGCAATTCTGCCAAATAAAAGAGAAGAAAGCTATAGACGTTTATATGCAGCATTAAAAAATTTGAAACCTGAACTTTGCCCTACATCTTTTTTAATGGATTTCGAAAAAGCAGCGATATGTGGATTAAGAAGTGTTTTCATCAAATTTGCGACTT